CTATCAAGAACTGAGCATAATATCAAACCATATGTTTTTCAAATAAATCGATCATTGGGTAGAAAGTTAATAATAAATATATTTTTGTGATATCTCAATGAGTACAAACTTGTATTTTTGAAATGCGAATTTCCGCTCACTTAGATGCTACAAAAATATATTTATTATCATATATCTTTCTCATCAGAATGCCAATTTATCAACAGAAGTTTCCTAATTACAATATAAATGTATTCAAAATAGCGACCTTATAAACTTCATGCACAGTTTTTATTCTCACACTATCTTCTTAACTAGGAAGTGAAACTTCCGAATCGTAATGTGTGAAAATATTGCTTGAATGATAAATACATGAGCCACCTATATACAACTTAAGACCTAGAATGGAAGCTCATCTACCTAATAATAATAGATGAATCCATGAAATAAAAAGTACAAGATAACTTGGCAGCAAAATCCGACTCAAGGCTTCCACGTGGCGCTGCTGGGTAGTGAGGACAACCTTGCTAGCTAAATTAAAAGGCTGACGGAGATCGGACTGACTCACCACCGTTATGTTGTACTTGGATAACTTGGAGTTCACTATTTGAGGCCTTAAAAATCGTGATGGGCTGCACGATGTGTGTGCTTACGTAGATGAATTATATGAGTCTCATCTTGTTTAGTCGTTTATGTAGGCATATACAAAGAGTACGCTCCGGGCTCACAAAAGGAACATAAGCTTAAAAAGTTTCTGGCCTATGTCTAATAACATCAGAGGCTTAAACCATCAGGTCCAAGACATAATAAAAATATATGATAGCAAACACTAGGGAGAGGTGACCATCAACCCTCCCCAAGAGAGTGCTAATGCTTATATATGTCACGAGATGCACGGATGAAAGCCTCTGTACTAGTGGTATGTACGTAATATGAAAGAGACAGTCAGTTGTAGCAGATACATTCGGAAGGAGCGTTAATCATCTACCCACCCAGGTAGGTGAATATTTAGTGACTCGAGATCTGACTCCAGTTAGATTATGCTATTGATTGTTATTGTATGATTGCTGTCAAAGTATACATCCTGACTACCCTCGTATATAATTATCGACTTAACTTGCGTTGGTGAACATCGGAATTAAATAATTTAAATACAAAAATGAAGTTTTGAATACGTATATTTTGTACATTAACTGATCTAGACAGACAATCAGAGGAACGAAGCGAAGTAAGCGAAGAGGAGAGAGAGAAGCGAGATGACACTCAGTGGAGGCGTGTGAGCCAACTCAATTTAATCAAGCGTTAATCGATATTTACAGTCAGATAAAAATAGGTTGCAGACGTGTGCTGAGTAAGATAGGAAATGCACACACATATATTTACATAAAACAGTCAAGGCTGATAAGCGAACAACTAACAAGGTCAAAGTGTGGCCTGCGAATAATGGGTAAATTGATTTGTCTAGAAGCTAGAATAAGTTATATGGGCTCGACATAGGACCAGCCATCACAAATATACCTATATGTATGCTGTGGGATAAATGGGTGAAAACTTATGTTACCGCTTTGTATGCAGACCATACTTACCCCTTATGCGACACCAGTGCGCCAATACCCTGGAGTTCCAACGATTTCCCCACGAAGTCACGTCCGCCCGACCGTTTTGTTAGCCTCAGAAAACCGATTCTCACCAGAATAACCTATGAGTTTACCAAGTAAGACTTTACCAACCTCAAGTGTCATAAACACCTCATAACATAACTAAAGTTCAAGATCTATGGGTAGAAAAAAAATACAAAGATCTTTTCCACTTCTACTTAGAAATTCACCCAAAACATGCGCACGCTATTCTTAAGGTTGTTCAGCTGCTTGCACTTTTTGGCCTTCACTAAACAGAACTATGTCATCCATGTTATCTGAAATCATTTGCAGGCATCTAATCAGTAGATTGATCCATAAAAACCAAGGTGAAAATTTTATTTTTATGACCAAGTTAAAAAGAAATTGGGATAGTGGCCAGTCTTCTTGAAGTGAAGTAAACAACTACACTTATAAACTTCAGACGGGCTTCGTAGACAGAGTATGTCACTGTCTCAAGATTCCAGAGTCCTAGCCATCAAGGCCTGTTGTTCATTTTTTTTTAATAGGATTTAAACTTTAAAGGTTGCATCAAGTTACAAGCTGCAAAGTCTCAGGGAAACAGGAATAACATTTGGTGAACTCGAATCGGTAGTGCTCGTGACATGGAAAAAAATATAAAGTCATAAGAGAAGGGTTGGTAGTAATGATAGAAAAAATATTCGGAAATGTAAGCAGCTTATTGTAGGAGAATATTAATGAAAGTAAAGGGCCAAATATCATGTCTGGATTTTACAAGTCGTGCAATATCGGTTCTTGTTGAGAAACCTGAAAGGAAAACCGCGTTAATAGTGACTATTTTACCCTAGAAGTAAGACCCCAAATTTTAAATACTACCTACGTAAGGCAGGTTATATACAAACTTTATGAACAAATTTTTATGTATTAGCTTCTTAATTTCCAAACCTGATCACTGATGACTTGAATTCTTCGAGCAAGACAAAGTGTATTATTTGTAGGGTTAGCATTTTACAGCCCATCCCACCTCTGTGGGGAACAAAAATTGTTAGGCATACTGGTCGTCTGTGAGTCTTCTCCACAGAATGTTTTCTAATATCTTAGAAAGGTTCTCACGCTTGTTAAGTTTAACAAGTCAGAAGTGCAGATGTTCTGTTACTAAACAACGATATTCATATATACATAGTCAAAATGACTCTCTGTGATATTACTTGTATTTCTGATCAAATTAGATTACTTGATAGACTGATTTCAATCATCATTATTTGATGACTGATGCTTAGAAATTTTATATTTGACTTAATATCAAGAAGACTAACGCTAACACCAAATGCTTCAAACTTTCCAGAAGGTAATAACATAAATTAAGTTAATAACATAAAACATGGTTATAGTTCTTGATGAAAACCTTACTTGACCTAACTCGTAAACTTCGAACTTATAAGGTGATTCGTTTTATGGTATATAGGATTTTATAACAGTTCCTGTCAAAACTTCAGCTGGATTAACTAAATACAAACCAGAGTTTGGTCAATATCTATTTTAAAGAAGATGCCAGTACAAAAACATAAACCTATGAATGCTTATTGAAATTTGCTTTGTTGATGAAAGTGGGATTTCAAATAATTCCACCAAATTAAGATATTTTTAAGATTTTGGTTTATTAAAGTAGATACAAATAAATTGTTCCATAATAATGATCCTTTAAAAGCTTTTATTCACATAACTCTAATATTTCATTTTCACTTGAGTTATTCTAAATGCATATAGAAGATTTCCGAATGTCATACTAATATCCATACAAATTATAAGGATTCATCTTTTTTACCACAATTCTCAAGTTGCATTTTGAATTATCACATCGTAGATATAAATAAAGACAGAACAAATATTGATGCAGAATAATATGAATTCATTATATATCGTAGTTTCTCATCAGCTGCTTACAACCAAATATGTATTAGAATTTTAGCATTGGGGTAATAAATAGTATGGAACAATTGACATAATTGAATGTAAAGGATTGGAATGACAAAAGGTTATCAATGACATATATATATATATATATATATATATATATATATATATATATATATATATGACAGATAAGATCAAAAGTGTGATAATTTTAGAGGTAATGAAAGAGTCATGGAATTAAAAACAAATATGGTGGGTTACGTAATAATTGAATGGAATTTGGAGAGTTCATTTAATTTAAGAGAGACGAGTGGTCATTATTTAGTTTTTTATTATATTCCTCTTCCATTACCCGATTCTTAAACCATCCTTTCTCTCACACATTTCCGCTCACTTGTCTCTCTTAAATTATATGAACTCTCCAAATTCTATTCAATTATTACGTAACCCACCATATTTGTTTTTAATTCCATGACTGTTTCATTACCTCTAAAATTATCACACATTTGATCTTATCTGTCTTTGAACTCCACTCAACGATTACGTCACCCACCCATTATGCTTCCTTCATTCTAATGCCTAATAACCTCTGACCTATCTATCAGAGGTTATTAGGCATTAGAATATATTTATATATGACATTGATAACCTTTTGTCATTCCAATCCTTTACATTCAATTATGTCAATTGTTCCATACTATTTATTACCCCAATGCTAAAATTCTAATACATATTTGTCTGTAAGCAGCTGATGAGAAACTACGATATATAATGAATTCATATTATTCTGCATCAATATTTGTTCTGTCTTAATTCAAATTCATAAAGGGAACTGACTGCATGAAACATCGTAGATAGATCGTTAGCAGAGATGGATAGTGGCTAGAAGTGGAATCGAGGACGCGCGTTTCGTCCTATTTGGGACTCGTCAGCTGGATGTACCCGCATCTCAGAGTTGATGTTCACTCTGGGACTCGAACCCAGTACCCTCGCTTCAAACGCCATCGCGTTATCCACTCGGCCACTGAGTTCTGATAGCCCTGATAGTCCTGAGTCCCAAGTAGGACGAAACGCGCGTCCTGGATTCCACTGCTAGCCACTATCCATCTCTGCTAACCACGCTTGTGAATTAAGGTATATCGAGGCAATACGCACAGTATGCACATATACCAATTAGAGACTGACCAGTTGCAGTCCTGACAAATCGATGGGAAGATTCAAACAAACAATACTAAGTTGAATCGTAGATAGATCATTTCTATGATTTTCATTATATGATACCATCAGAATTCTTTGTTCATTTAGTTTTCTGACTTTTTATAAGACATTTTACTTAGTATATTATAATTTTCATAACATATGACGTACTTTGACGTGATTTACTGAAGTATTAATTTAATTGTCTGTTCTTCTTCTTTTATGCACATGACTAAAATGTATCATCTAAACAAGTCTATTGAAGGAAACAAAACACCATAACCGATTCAATAAAAAAAATTTTCTGGCTGACAATAATAGAGTTTTTCTGTATTGTAATTGATATATTTTTTAGAAACATTTCTGATAAAATTAGTACATCAACGTAAGAAAAGAATCTTTGGTTCTTTTAGTTGAAAATATTATAAAATACAAAATTTATAATCATTTTATTGTTCTTTTTTTAATAATTTAATCTGCTGGACTTCTCCAAATAACACAACGAAATTTATCATACATGAATTCTATAGCCAAGAAAGGTTCATGACTGAAATTTGACCAAAAGGATCCATCAATTATGAATACTTGCCATAATTTACCATATTTTTCATCTAAATACTTTTTCATATCATTAACTATTACAATTATTGATTTTTCATCAGTATACTTTGTATTCAATGTTTCTTTAAACATATTTGTTATATCAACTTGTTTTTGTAAAGACATTGAAGTGGAAAAAATTGTAATATCTGAATCTAGCTTAGGTGATAAACCAGCTGCCATATTCTCTCGATCTTTCTTTTCCATGATCCTAATAAAGGAAAATAGAAGAATTACATTTGTCACAGTATTGTTTCTTGACAGAAATAAGAAGAAAGAATATGTTTACATTAGTTCATCATTGATGAGTTAAAAATATTCATTTGAAACAATTCACTACGAAAAAACTTTTATTGATATCCGAATTAGCCAAGAATCAAGAAAACTGATGGGGAACAGTATACATTGATCCTTAACTTAATGATTATGCAAGTTATAAATACCCATCAATCAAATTTTTTTGGTTTAATATACTATTTGGACAAGGGCAAGTATGTATTGTTTGAATTTACAAAATCCTTGTTGGTAAAACTATTTTTAAGCTTAACATTTAAACATGTCAAAGTTGTAACAAAAACATATATATATATATATATATATATATATATGCAAATAAAAAGAGTCTTTCATTGAAAGCAAAATGATTAAAATAATCTAATCCTTGTCAACATAAAACGGTTTCTTATGGCATAAATTATATCTGACTTAGATCTCAAGTAAATTACTTACTTACTTACTTACTCCTGTTACCTCTCGTCGAGGAGCATAGGCCGCTCACAAGCATTCTCCATCCAACTCTGTCTTGAGCCTTCCTTTCCAGTTCTTTCCAGTTGCTATTCATCCTTTTCATATCTGCTTCTATTTCCCGGCGTAGTGTGTTCTTTGGCCCTCCTCTTTTCCGCTTCCCTTCCGGATTCCAAGTTAGGGATTGAGTCGTGATGCACATTGGTGATTCCCTTAATGTATGTCCGATCCACTTCCAACGTCTTTTCCTAATTTCCTCTTCAGTTGGAAGCTGGTTTGTCCTCTCCCATAAAACACTGTTGCTGATAGTATCCGGCCAATGAATGTTGAGTATTTTGCGTAGACAACTGTTTATAAATACTTGTACCTTCCTGATGATGGCCGTAGTAGTTCTCCACGTTTCAGCTCCATACAGTAGGACTGTCTTGACGTTCGTATTAAAGATTCTGACCTTGAAATTGGTTGAGAGTTGTTTTGAGTTCCATATGTTCTTCAATTGTAGAAATGCTGCCCTTGCTTTGCCAATCCTCGCATTTACATCTGCATCCGATCCTCCTTGTTTATCAACGATGCTCCCCAGGTACTTGAATGTTTCCACCTCTTCCAGAGTTTCGCCGTCAAGTGTGATTGGGTTGGTGTTCTCCGTGTTGCATTTGAGAATCTTGCTTTTTCCTTTGTGAATGTGGAGACCTATCGATGCGGAGGCTGCTGCTACATTTGCTGTCTTCATCTGCATTTGTTCGTGTGTATGAGAGAGGAGGGCTAGTTCATCTGCGAAGTCCAAATCATTTAATTGATTCTGAGAAGTCCATTGTATTCCGTATTTCCCCTCAGATGTCGAAGTCTTCATAGTCCAGTCAATCAGTAGAAGGAAGAGGAATGGTGATAGTAAACAGCCTTGTCTGACTCCGGTCCTTACTGGAAATGCATCTGTCAGCTGTCCTGCATGCATGACTTTGCACTTTGGTCCATCGTATGAGTTTTCCATAATGTTGACAATATTTTCAGGAACTCTGTAGTGTCGAAGAAATTTCCATAATGTTCTCCTGTCCACACTATCACACACTATCATAGTCAATGAAGTTGACGTATAGTGAATACGAACTAAAAATCAAACTTTATATTCAGGTAATAAAGATAGAGTTGTTGGGATTTAAGGCATGCGGAGTCTGTTTTTAATAAACATTCTCCATATCATGTACTGACATTAACAAGACAACCATCATAAACTAGAATTAATAGACAGATGTTTCCTTCTGCTACATTTATTCTCAATACTGTTCATTCGTGATCTTTCAGGCTTCTCGCTAAATTCATTACCTTCAGACCACTGTGGCTTATATTCCTATCTTGAGCTGTCTAATGATGTTGCGTGATTATAATCTACAGCGAGCGGTTGTTGCTTTTTACTAGATCTTTGGAAATTTCTCTTCACATTAGTAACCAGTTAGTTCGTAGTGTAAATTGTTTCTTCATAGACTTGTGTACATCTCACTGTTTGTTATATCGATTGCCTGCGTGCCGTATTTGTTATATGAATGTGCTAATTCCGGTCAATGAGAAAAGAGCGAATTATCGATCGGAGCAATGATACATAAAATACGTATGAGTAGTCCTGAGTACTACTCGGTCCTGCTTTCTGTCTAGCCCAGCCAGTTAAGTCCAGAACACCAATAACAGCCTGGGCAATATGAATCATTATTCACAAACATACTGGGTTTATATTACCAACCAAACAGACCACGTCGTACCATAAAATAGAATATAACGTTTGTACAATAATTGGCCAAATGTGGCTGTGAATAGGGGGAAAGTAATCGATAGACTGATGATAACTCAAGAATCGTATAATAATAGTTCAAAGGTCAAAATAAAGCTAATGATACAACAATTATACAATAGGAAATATACATATTACATTGGTCCATAAATAATCCTCAAAATTTATCATTCATAATTCACCAGGGGATATAACACTGTTAAAACGTCTTTTGATACAATTTAACCTGTCATATACACTTTCTTGCATACTATGACATTCTCTACAATTAATAAATATTTTAATAAATTTTGGTTTCGATTTTCATCTTCCCGTATAAAGAAATAAAATGCTAGACATTTTGACACGATTGAAAACAGAAATATGGAAAATGGAAATATTTTTTCAAAAAAAAACCCATCATTTATAATGATACGAAAATAGCTCATTTGCTTACATTTCTTCATATTTTAAACCGAATACAACACAGAATTCCCTGAATGATATTTTATCGAGTGAATTAAAGGGTTTTAACCATTCCTAGATATGAAAATAACAATAACAACAAAGAAATGAATAAATAATTGAATTAAACTTGCAAATATCATAAACAAGTGAGTCAAATAAATGTGTTTAAATTCTAGAGGAAGCCATCTCAAACTTCTTTGATATTTATAAGCGAAGATGGATGATGGCTAGCATTGGAATGCAGAACGTGCGCCTTTCGTCCTACTTGGGACTCGTCGACCGGATGTACCTGCATCCCAGAGTTGATGTTCACTTCTGGATTGAACCCAGTACCGTTCGCTCTAAACACCGTTGACTTGTCTACTTAGCCATTGAGTCGTGATAGCCAACTACAAAAATATGACAATGATTTTCTCGCCTTCCGATTATTCTAAATCAATTACGTATTTTAACTATTTCACACACTCATACGTCCAAAATTCAAGCTGAACTAGGATAATGATTGATATGTATTCCTTCTTGTTTATCCTTTGAAGAAATAAGGTACGACTACACTGAAATTTATACATCGAATATAGATCATAAGATCGAGAATCTTTGCGGACGAATAGCAGCTAATCGCAGTTGAAAAACACTTTTTTTTAATGAATACAAGGTAGAAATTTGTTGTAATATTTTATAATTTTTGCTATAATCATAATTACCGCCAAAAGACTTTAAAGTTATGAGCGAAAGATACCTTAAAGGAACCAATCCCGTTAGCTGGTGTCCAATAAATTTACCTTTCTATGCTGCTTGAAAAATTCCAGTATGACTGAAGACAGGTGAATTTAAAACAGTAAATGGGATAGTTGTTAACTCACCTAGTCAAAATGGGTTGTACAACCAATATTAATTGGTACGTTTTAGTAGTCTAGTATGTTGATAATCATTTTTCAAAGCTATCATGTCACAGTTCTGCAAACAATAAACGCAAAGCCATAAGATTTTAAGGATCAAAGCTCTGAGTTTAAAATATGGATTTTCGGACTCCTTTCTTTCCTTGGCCTCCATTACGTTTAATAAGTCACTCATCATTTCGATTCTAAGGTGACCACATTTATAACATACCTAATTTCCTATACTTCTCAGAAGTTGGATCCATTTGTTTCCATAATTATGATTAACTATCAACTGTATGATCAAACACTTCATTTAGTACGCAGATAAATTTGATTATCTCTAACACGATTGATTTCACAGGTTATGCAACACTCAGCTGACCAGTGAATATGACTAGTAAGTACATAATTCTTTCTCTCGACCTACACCTTCCATTTATTAGGCTCACACAACTAGTTCCACATTTATATACACTGATATACCTCTTTTACTAACAACCGTAAACGTATACTCCGGATATTTCAAAGTTGAAATCATGAGTCAATTGAAGCTAGACCACCATGGAGAACCTGGAAGCACTGGACGGCCGTTTCGTCCCATTGTGGGACTCCTCAGCAGTGCACATCCATGATTCCGCACTCGCGAGATTCGGACCCAGGACTCATGATTTCAACTATGAAAATACTAAATTCTCCACAAACCCCCCTCTAATATGTATGAATTGGTATATAATTTATATAAAATTATTGTCTTACATCAACCATACACATATCCATATCTTCTTTTCCACAATGTTGAATAAGTTCAGTTTTCTTAATAAATCCATTATTATTATTGCTATCAAGTTTTAGAAAGATTTCAATAAATTTCTCCATAATTATTCAATTTTGTTGTTTTATATAAAATAGGTTTCTTTACTTTGTTTGTTTTATTATCCCAGTATCTTTAAAATCCAATGACAATTTTTAAAAAACTTATTTTAGATGTTTTGATGTAAGATTTATGATATTAATTTAATATTGCGAAAAATGATCATAATCTATTTAGTATAGAATTATACCCTTATTGTAATTATCTCTATATATATCAGACAGATATTTATGCAACTTGTTACTAAGAGAATTTCTTTTTTATCATACGTTGATATATACAAAACTAATGAACTGATTCATGTGTGTTTATGTATTAAATATAAGTGAATAAAATGATACATATTTCTTTATGGTGTGTAATATTTAATATCATTCGTATATTATATTAGATTCATTGGATGAATACAATGGAATGTATGATTTTGTTAAAGAAATATAATAAAAAATAAAAGTAAATCTGTAAATTTTAAAGATTCTTTACTTATTTCAACAAACGTTTCACTAAGAATTATATTCAGGTACATAACTACTTCTAACTCCGCCTATAGCTCCTCCGGAGGCTACTACCGGTCCCAAGCCTGGATAAAGGAGGAGGGTTGGGCATGAGGTTAGCGACCCCATCCCGTAGAAAACCAACTTGCTAAAAAAAAGCGCCAACCAGAAAAAAATATTCAAACCATTTAAACTCTGCCCTGGGAGTTAAAGGAATCATTATGACGTCTCATGATGAAAGCTGAGTTCCTTCAGAAATCATGAGGCCGATGCACCTTCTAATAACCAGAACAACAGTTTTTATAGGTACATGGAATGTCTGGACAGTGTGGGAGACCAAAAGAGTCTTCCGAATTGCTGCACATAACTACTTTTAGTTATGTAGTAATGTAAGTCTACTTTAAATTTAATATTGAATTGGTTCATTAATAGTTTTTAATACAATACTAAATACTTTCATACTTTATATTAAGAGATTGTTTAGTATAATAAAAGTCTCATGAGCACTATTTCCAAAATTTCTTACAATATTTTGAAGCTATAATGTGAATCTATTGAAGTTGATCCATTCCACGAAAATAGCTTATATAAATTGTTTTATTGTTCATTCAGTACAGATTTGAATACGTTTCATTCAAGTGAATCTCTTCATTTTAACATCTGTTGAAGGCTGTCTTTATTATCGGTTTATCAAAAACAAAGTAATCCAAGTTGTCAGCTGATTTAAAAGTATATCGTAAATATACTTCTAAGAAATAATTAAACTTCTAGTGGATCGTTTTTTATAAACCTAATAAATTTTCTGGTAGAAATTTGAACTTTTCCTCTGGATTGGACGAGATCAGGAAGGAAAATACAAAGTTGTCTTCATTCATTTTTCATAATAGTGTTAGAAATATCTACTTTAAATATGAAACCATATTAAAATCGTAACCACACGTAAGCCATATTCTAAACTGTCAAATCCAATCCAACCAATAATGTAATCAAACATTTGGTGTATATAGTTGCCAAAATAAGTACTGAAAGCATTAATTATCACTTCTTGGTTGTGTTAATCTCCAATAACACTAGACTTGTGATGTCTTAATTGTGATATTTAATTACTCATCTAAAACTGATTTCAGCTGGTAAACCACTAAAAACGAGAGAAGACTGGACATCTGTCTCACCCTAGTTTGAGACTTCTCAGCGGTGTGCACACTTCAGGGGTCAAACCAAAATCTTCAGATATAATTGCATGTGTATTATTTTCTAAACATTGACTGATTATTTGATGGTCCACTTTTTCATCTTCAGTTAACTTTTCATGCATTGCGAACATCCTCCGATATCACTAGTGACGTCTCCTACCCCGGACAGGGTCTTATGGTTTAATTTCTTTGAGGTATGCGCTGAATTAAAAGTTTCATAATTAGACAATGTAGTACAATAAAATCAACCTATTCTGACTGACGGTGTGAGCACCAACTCTGGGATCCAAATATATCCAGCTGGAGAGTACCGAATAGAATGTACGTGATTAGCTGCTGAACAGGACCCTTCCATTCTATAAAACTTAATTGAATTGTTTAAAGAATACTAAACATAGTTTGCTGAATACTCAGTAACAAGCTTTCTTTTGTATCATATAAACCAATGTTATTAAGGAAGTACCTAATAACCTAAAATAATTCTTTATTACATTTTAATCACCTTACATGTCGTCCAGTTACAATGAAAAAATAATGCATATCAAAAGTGAAGACAAATTATAAAGATAATGAGAAATTCACTGGTAGTGACTTCAATCGTTGTTGGATGTAAGACTAAGGAATTTTAATTTAGAAGGCAAGCGAACATGACCTATTTCGTAGATATGCAATGAACGAACACACATGTGAAGACGACCAAATAATGTTAACACAAAATTACAGAGTTGTTTGGTAAATTGTGAAAACCCGTTCTCTTCAATTCGATCTTCCCAACCTTCTGCTGCCAGGCATTCCATTTCTGACTGGTGTTACATACCACTTATGTCGACGTAAGTGACACATACCACAGATATATCCTGTGTTGTACTCCGAAAACTAATAAATTTGATCTTAATATCTCCCCCAATATGTCTAACTAAAGTTGAAGCTAGTAATTTAGAAATTAAACTTGGTTCTATGCATTTTACATTTATTCAGCAATAAAAGTCTATCGAAACATTATTATGGAAAAAGGACAAGAAATTATCTTCTAGGGGATTCACTTACTTCAACCATCAATTTGTCCAATCAGGAGTAGATATTAAGTGACAAATACTCGGTTAATCTCGGAGTAGAGATATCAGAAATAGTTTCTAAGCGCATCCAATTAATGAGCCTCCAGTAATACGAAAGGTGTGTCTATCTGTAATTTTATATGGACTACTATCCAAAATGTAATCAACCGATTGCGTCGAGCATTATCAAATCATTCATTCAGGGTGCCAGTATATTTCCAGAGAGAGGGATCTTGATCGAATACAGTTCTAAACATCAATAATGGTAAAAACCAGACCCTTACTAATGATAATAATATATAAGCTTTAAATAATTCAAAACTGGATTTTCATTTTCATAAAATATGTATATCTTCCTATTAAAAGTAACATTTTAAATTCCTATCAAACCGATCCTATAAAAATGTAGCATGAAAGTTGATGAACGCATATTTTCTACAGTTTTGTTCTTTTTTAGCATAATGAAAAACTTAACTATCTGTATTTAAAACATTTTATAAACAGAAGAGATGGATTTCTATTCATAGTAGAATCTATAACACCCACTTCTTCTCACATAAAACTCACCATCTGATGTTAATATTCACATTGGAACCCTGACCCAGCATTCACTTTATTTTAAACTTTCAGCACGCAAGGGAACAATTAATGAAATCACTGAAAACATCATCAATAAATCATATCAGTTTAATAAACTGTTACAATATTCACTAGAAGTTTTATCAATAAACGGTTATATGTCACTGTTGGTGTTTTATGAGAAAAAATGTAATGAATAAACGTAAAAGTAATACACTTTTTTCTTCCTAAAATGACTTTTTTTTTCTTATTAGAAAGGTGTTTTTTTTGTAAAGTTAATCTATGAGAAAAAAAGATTAAAAAAAGAAAAAACGCAGAGAGAAAACCAATAAGTTAATTCAACAAAATCATGACAATATGTTCAATTTTAATGACAAATTTTAGCTAAACTAAAAAAATGATCTTAAATTCCAAGAATATTTTGTTTAACTCCATGTACATTGGTACATTTTTAAAAAAGAAAGTTGACAACATAACAATCTATTCTTTTTTTTAAATTATTGTATCTTAGAGATATTTTTATTGTAAAAATATGGTTTTCTTCTATGTGAATCAAGAATTTATATTCTAAAGAGTTCAACTATAAAACTTTTAAAGACTAAGTAAATAAACAATAGATTTTCTAAAATATCAAGTTTACTAAAATCAATTCTTAACTAATCGATAATTTTCTTTTCTATTTTTTTTCTTTCCCTGATGAATAAACATTTTTTTTTAAAATAAAAAACTTTAATATATTTTTCACACACTTAGGATTGTTATATTCAAAAGATAACTAATGTAATCTAGGAATATAAACTACTGAAATTCAATTCATTAGCCTAAATGTAATACATTCACTAAACATCTTGAATTTTTTTTGTTTTAATCTCTTTACCAGTTTTAGGTGACTATTGCTGAGAAATATTATACTAAAAATATTTAAAAAAAAACTAACAAGTACTCTCTGATTTTCTATGATTGTCTAGCTGAAGTCACTTCGTGATGTGAACTGTGTATGTACAGTACAGTATTTCATTTATAGTTCATAGTATGTAGTATTTGAATAACTTCAAGTAGAAGCTGTGAAAATTAGTTGTTATATTTAGCGTAATAGTAATCAATTTTATGTGAAACAAAAGAATTGCTTAGAGCATACCAGACAATTTGTTACAATCCTAATATATATTTTTAAATCATATGTAAACTTTTGTCTTCGACAAAGTTAATGAGATGAAAATTTAATTTTCCAAGTGAATCGAAATTTCACAGCATACTATATCACTGTAGCAAGCCCATTAAACTACTGTATTTTTTATGTGCTCTCTGTAATCCTAACATTTATCCCACTGTAAATTTATGTGTGAGTCTGATTGAGCGCATGTCTGCACATCAATCCTTAATTTGTTCTCTCATTGGTTGTAAACAAAGATAATCAATAATTTATACACAATCCATTAACACTCAAAAATATATATGGATTTTTAACACTCACACACACACACTCACTCACTTCCTTTCCCTGTGTGCTTGCTATCTGTACGCTTGCGGATTTTACCGAGCTTCATCAATAAACTATCTCTATAACTGGTGTTCAGGCTTTTGAATAATCTCGAGTAAACCTGTAATTCTACTAGGAGATTTAGCCTGCAGTAAATAATCAGTGAGCGGGATATTATTCATTTATTGGAGTCATATATAGAGGAATTAATCTTCTACAAAATTGGTGAGCCGCATTTTGAACACGCACTATTCTTCTACAAAGTTGGTAATCCGCTTTTTGAACGCGTACCATCTCTCTACAAGTCTGCTGAACATTCTCTAATCATATCATTAAGAACTTCACATTGGAATTACTGTTACAATTATTAACAATTCATTGACAGTCATAATATATTCATTCATAACATTGTCCCTTTGAAATTATATTGATATATTCACATATTTGTACCCAAAGTGACAGTTTTTTTATTTA